ATGGATGGATGGATGGATGGATGGATGGATGGATGGATGGATGGATGGATATCCTCCCCATTTCATGCCTTCCCTGGGCTCACAGTGCCCACCCAGGGCTCACAGAAGGCCAAAGGCTCCTGTGGCAGGATCTGTGCCCCACTGACCTGTACTGGGCCTGGAAGTGGCTCTGCACGAAGCTCTGCCCACGGGGGTGCTGTGTGCCAGGGGGGGACCTGCTGGCACTGCTGCTTCCGTCCTTGCCAGGCTGCAGGGGCAAGAGACAAGTGATGAGTGAGGTGACGGGGTGAGGGCATGTCCTTCAGGGGTCAGGGACACGTCCTAGGGAACCAAGCCCAGCTTTGGTGTCCCTATGGCATGAGGATGGGCTGAAGGTGATGCCAAAGAGACTCTGGCACCTCCCTGCCTGGCACTGCTGCACCCTCCAGGCAGTGTCAGTAAAAACCCTGAGCTGTTCTGGGGTAAGACAGTGACTTTCTTGTGTCTCAATGAGTAAGATTGAAAATCACTGAGGATTTTGGCCGAGAGGTGGATTTTCCTCAATGCCATCTGCTGGCACCAGGTCCTGCTGAGGCTGACGTGTCCTGACAGTCTGCCTGGCACTAGGGTCCATCTGGTGTGGCTGAGAGGGGACCTGGATGGTGTCTGTGCCCTACAGGGCCCCCAGAATTCCCCAAAAACCCAAGGGGTGCTCCTTCTCCTCCTGCCTTCCTGGCAGCCAAGCCTTGGTGCCCACTTTGGTCCCCCCTCACCCCAGACACTTATTGGGGGTCCCACCCCTGCCAGGCATCCCTCCCCAAGGACAGGGGCATGTGGATGACACTCGGGTGGCATCACCAAAAGGAGCCAAACCTGGGGGATGGCAGGCAAAACCACAGGCGCTGAGGGACATACCAAGGGTCCCCTCCCGAGAGCCAGGTGGCACAGCCTCCAGGTGGCACAGCCAGTGTCACACCACAGCTCATGGCACATGTGGGCACCTGATATTTAACAGGAGCTGCCAGGCTTTCCCAAAAAGCCTGGGGCATCCAGGTGTGCCAGGGAAGGTGGCAGGGTTGAGGGCAGCTCAGGTCAGGGCAGGGATTGGCTGCAGGGCCCTGGCCAGGCAGCAAAGGCTCTCCAGAGACTCTGGAGATGGGCACCACAGCCAGGCTGTCCCTGAGCTACAGAGCTGGGCTGGAGGCTGGGCTGGGGGTCACCCCAGAGCAGGGACAGCTCAGTGCTGGGGTGGGTGTCACCCCCAAAGCAGGGAGAGCTCAGTGCTGGGCTGAGCTCACGGGTCAAACAGCAACAGCTCAAATCCATCTCCTGCAACAGGCGGCGCCCGGCGGGCAGCAGCAGGCGGGGAAGGAGCCGGGAAGGAACAGGGAAGGAGTGGGAAGGAGGCGGCAGGAGGAGGCAGGGAGGGCCAGGGCCAGGGCAATGCCTGAGCGCAGATGGATTGAGGAAGACTTAATTACTCATTTTGCCAGCAGCAAAGCCGCCGAGCTGTAATTACAGCGAGCTTAGCTGGAGGCAGGGAGAGACGGGGAGGCTGCATCTCCTCCTCATCCAAGGACCAGGATGCTCCCAGAGCCGGGATGCTCAGCTGGATGGCTCCTGCCGACATCCCCCATTCTCCCAGCACTCCAACCCCTGCCAGTCTCGGCTCCCACCTCGAACCACAGCATCCCTGTC